TCATACGAGCGAGGTGAGTCTCCTTTCTAACCTTGTAAGAGGAAATCGTCCCCATAGGTGAAATAATTGATTATGTGCTCCTATTTGTGAGGGCTATGTATGCACGAGGTGACAAGAGTCCGTGCGTAGCTACTAATATGTGTAAGTCCGGGTAGTCTAGGACCCAAAAGCATGCTATACTTGGACTATTTGCAATCTTATTGACAACTTAAATTGCTTAAATCACATCGAATTAGTAAATCAATTTCTAAAAGGATTTAAACTTCATTTTCTTAAATTGTTAAAAGAGAATTGGATTTTCTTTGGATAGTTGTTCCATGTTGGCTTCTTGATTGACTGTCTGTTTGTGCTTATTTTTGGAGCGGGCCGAACGCCTCGGTAGATTAAATAGATGCATCTATGGTTCGTGCCGTTCAACCCTCGGCAGTGCACAATTTAAATATTATTGGATCGGGTCGTATGACCTCGGCATGATATGCGCATGCTTGTATTGCTTGCCTGAGAATGTTACGTGATAATATTTGCCTTCCCTGGCCAGACATAGTTGATAAGCATAATGAAAAGTAAACCTTGGAAATCCGTATTTATTTGAGATGTTGTTTACCTGCTATATGGTTTTACGAGTTTATAATTGCTTGATAAAAATCCATAATTTCCTCACATTTTCACTATATTATTATTGGACCACTAGTAAATGTCAAGTCGACCTCTCGTCTCTACTTCTTCGAGATTAGACGGGATACTCATTGGGTACACATTGTTTTCGTACTCATACTACACTTCTGTGCATTTTTGTTGCACAGGCACATGCATCTCTAGTGGCCTAGTGAGCGTAGCAGCATGGTTGATATAGAGACTTAGGTGAGCTGCATTTCCCGAGACGACCTGCAGCCAGCGAGTCTCTTTTAGATTACTATATTTATCTCTTGTCCAATATTGTATTCCGGACGGTTGTTGTATTACATAATTTCTTAGAAATTGCTCATGTACTTGTGACATCGGGTTCTGGGATGTCTATGGATTTATTCGAAATTTTTAAAAGTTGTTAAATGTTTCATTATTTATTCAGAGGAATTTACTATGTACTGTTTAAACGTATAAAAGAAGTGATTTCGGAGTACTGTTTAATTTAGTATTTTGGTTGGCTTGCCTGACAGCGGTGTCCGGCGCCATAACGACCCTTACTGGATTTTGGGTCGTGACATACTGGCTATTTTTCAATTACCGATCCGCAATATGGCTAGCATGTACTATTTTCACAAAAAAAGAAGGAAAAAGAGGCGAGGCCCTAGGGCTCAACTAAGAATAAAGGAAAATTTTAAGGGAAATGTTCGTTCCTATGCCATATAAGAAACAAAATTACCAAATATGTTCATAGTTTGCATGTTACCATTCATGCTAATGGTATTTCTATAAAATATAGACAATTCATTAAATAAGGAATCATTGTAGCTGTAGGCTTCCTTATTTAGGCGCGCTACAATTGGGGGATTAAATATTCTTCCAGATCTTCCACAACGCAAATCACGCACATTAATCTTCTTCGTCAGTTTCATTTCAAATTTAGCGTCTCTTCTTTTTTGATACACTGTGTTTCAAACTTTTTACTGATTTCACAAATCAAAAATGACTAAATCATCTACAATTCTTTTACATCAAACGCAACTGTCCAAATTTCAGTAATACAAAGCAAAGGAAGAAAGAGAAGCAATTCCACCATTGACAGCCATTAAAAAGCTTTGAAGCTTTGAATTCAAATTTGGGTTTTCAAAAATCATTATTTGTTTGGATTGGGTGTTGTTGCAAATAATTGAGAATNCTGCACAAGTTAGCTCCAAAATAGACGAAGTGGAATAACAAGCTCCCATCAAAACTTTTAACACAAAAACACAAAGCTCAAATTTTATGTTATTGTAGTTTATTTAACTGGGTGGAAATAATGTGTGAAAGTTGTAANATAATTGAGAATATGGTTTGGAGTTTATATCTCAATTTTGAGGGGTTTTGGTGAATATTAGACTTGGTTTTGGCTGAATTTCGGATTGAAGAAGAAGAAGAAGAAGAAGAAGAAGAAGAAGAAGAAGAAGAAGAAGAAGAAGAAGAAGAAGAAGACATGACATATATTATATTACAGAAATTGTAGAAAAATTGTATTCTGTTGTTTATTTATTTTTCTTTTAATTTAACTATTGTATGAAAGTTGAATAATATTGTATAAAAATTATACTTAAGTGGTATTATATCATAGTTGTATATAACTTAGTAGAAATAATGTATGAAAATTGTAGATAATTTGTATAATATATAATTAGTTGTATGAAAATTTGTTTTTACTATGTATAAATCAGATACAAAATATACAAAAGACATATTGTATAAAATTTGTATAAAATTTGTATAAAATTTGTATAAAATTTGTATGTAAGTTTTATGTTATTGTAGTAGTATTTCACTGAGTGGAGATAATGTGTGAAAGTTGTAGAAAATTGTAGATAAGTTGTATTCCTCTATAACGGGAGATGTTGGCATATCAAGTAACTTTAGTGTTCCAGACGAACATGCATGAAAATAAAGATAAATTCTGTTATGAACAGTTTGTAGAAAATTTGTAGATAATTTGTAGAAACATTGAAATTCTGTATTTTCATATTAATTTTTCAAATGATATGCAGTTTTATTGTAGACTAAATGTAGAAAATAAGCCATTGTGAGTCTTATTTGATTCATTCCTCACATTCAACATATTCTACAAATTCACGTCTCTTTAAATACAATACAACCATACTTTCTTGAATTTAAAGGTATAACAATATATATAACTTAAAAAACATCTTCTCCTCTGCACAAGTTAGCTCCAAAACAGACGAAGTGGAATAACAAGCTCACATCAAAACTTTTAACACAAAAACACAAAGCTCAATTTTATGTCATTGTAGTTATATTTAACTGGGTGAAAATAATGTGTGAAAGTTGTAGAAAATTATAGATAAGTTGTATTCCTCTATAACGGGAGATGTTGGCATATCAAGTAACTTTAGTGTTACAGACGAACATGCATGAAAATAAAGATAAATTCTGTTATGAACAGTTTGTAGAAATTTTGTAGATAATTTGTAGAAACATTGAAATTCTGTATTTTCATATTAATTTTTCAAATGATATGTAGTTTTGTTGTAGAATAAATATAGAAAACAAGCCATTGTGAGTCTTATTTGACTCATTCCTCACATTCAACCTATTCTACAAATTCACGCGTCTTTAAATACAATATAACCATACTTTCTTGAATTTAAAGGTATAACAATATATATAACTTAAAAAATATCTTCTCCTCTGCACAAGTTAGCTCCAAAACAGACGAAGTGGAATAACAAGCTCCCATCAAAACTTTTAACACAAAAACACAAAAGCTCAAAAATAAATAAATAACAGTCTATAATTTTTCTACAATTTATCTACAATTGCTGCAATATAATGTATGTCATGTCTTCTTCTTCTTCTTCTTCTTCTTCTTCTTCTTCTTCTTCTTCTTCTTCCTCCTCTTCTTCTTCGAGTTTAAATCTAAAATTCAGCCAAAACCAAATCTAATCTTCAACAAAACCTCTCAAAATTGAGATATAAACTCCAAACCATGTTCCCAATTATTTACAACAACACCCAATCCAAACAAATAATGATTTTTGAAAACATAAATTTGAATTCAAAGCTTCAAAGCTTTTTAATGGCTGTCAATGGTGGTATTGCTGCTCTCTTTTACTTTCCTCTTATATTACTGAAGGAACCCGAAATCATAACCATCAAATCGACAAGGCTTGTGCTCATCTTCCCCGGGCAAAAAAAATTGGAACAAGATGGCAGAGGTGCCGACAGTGCCTTGGCTATGGAAGAAATAATGGGATTTTGATACAGAAATCATGGGTGTGGGAGGGAAACGTGGGTGAAAGTGTGGGAATTGGAGAGAGAAACGTGGGGGGAGTGGTATTAGAAGGAATATACGGTACCATTAAATTAGGAGTGTAATTAATACCCTTAAAAACCACTAATAGTATATAATTGGTAATTAGGTATACTAAATGTAATTATATCAAACCTTAAACATTGAGGGTAATATAGTTTCCTATATGGCATAGGAATGTAAAAATTCCATTAATAAGTAGAAAAAAAGGAAAAACAAAGAAGATACTCCAAAATCAAACTTACATTCATATAGGTTTGAAGATGCTTGCAGTCGTGTCTACTTTGTGATTCTTGGGTGACACTCTGTTTATATAGGTTTTTTCATCGGATATTATATACATGGTAAGAATTTTAGTGAAGGAAGCGGGTGGCATGGCACCCCTACGGCCCTACCTCATAAGGTAGATCCGCCCCTGCCTACAACTGCCCTTCCCTCCTCACCAGGACAGGGTCAGAGGCCGTATGCTACTACTTTGGTGACATAGTTTTCAAGCCAAATTATAATTCCTTTGAAAGCACCTGTGAGAGTCCTGAATGCTTTCTCACCTTAGGCTGAGGGTAAGCCCTATAAACTTGTTGTAGATGGTTCCCAATCTTCCAATCAAAAAATTTCTTCATGCTTTATCCACAAGAAAAAAGCATGACGAAAAAGAAAACACACACAAAAAAATGAAAAAAAAAAAGAAAAAGAAAGAAAGAAAGACGAAGACTTCTTTCTTTTTTTAATTTATTTGTTCCAACGTTTCAGTGGAATAAAAGTTTTTGGGGGCAAATAATAATGATATAAATCATAATATTTGAAGAATTAGTACAGCAAAAGGCACAAAATGTCAACAAAGATTTGGGTGTTAGTAATAACTCACGTATAGTGAGTTAAAAATCTCCCAGCCTTGAGCATTCCCTACGCCATGCTTAAAATCATATGAAAAAAGAAATGGAAGAAGCATTTGTAAGAAAGCAATTGTTTCTAAAAATATATCCCCAGCTTTACTCTGAATATGTGAAAAAATATTTTGTATAAATAATCTGTAGGAATTTAGCTAATTAATTTGCGTAATGCCAACACAAACCGGACATTCTACATAACTATATCAGCTTTCTTCTTTTTAGGAGAATTAACCAATTTCAAACGTTGAAGCCTTCAGCTCGAAGGCATATACGATGAGCCTCAATCCATTTCTCACAAGCAGATTCGCCATGTTCCACAATGCATTCATCCCTCAGTTTCTTCGTCTTTGCGCAAGCACAACAAATCTTCTTCTTTGGCTTTTTATCTGCAGTTGCTGAGAAATATAGACCAGTCATCAGGATTGTGTAATGGCACGAGGTTGATCATCACAAGACTTGGAAATCGGGTTATTGAAGCCAAGGTTTTATCTGATAATATGGCTGGACAAAAAGTGTTTATCCTGAGAATGACGTTAACACCATCAGATGCAAGAATACCTTTTAAGTACCAGCGAAGACAATTTTCAATTGTTGTATCTTTTGCCATGACAATTAATAAAAGTCAAGGCCAGTCATTGTCTCATGTGAGATTATTTTTGAAGAAGCCAGTATTTACTCATGGACAACTGTATGTTGCTCTTTCACGCGTGACAAGTAGAAAATGATTGAAGATTTTAGTTTATAATGGTGATGGCTAAATAACAAATGAAGCTAGAAATATGGTGTATAAAGAAGTTTTCCGTAATTTAGTTTGAGATAAATCTAGAGATGGTGGAATCATCAGGTATTTGTAATTTGCTTTTCCAATAAATATAAGGAAAGGTGACTATAAGTTTTAACTGAGTTGTCACTGTTGTTTTGGCAGGGGCGAGAAGAAACTAGGTTCAGCAACACAGTAGAGGATATAAATGTATCTTCATAACTACAATTTTTGAGTTATTACATTTTCTTCTGTTGGGGGTTGAGAAATACTGGCTCTATGTACAGAAAGTTAATTCAATAGTTTCTCCGGGGAGAACTACCATGAAGCACCAATGTATGTTAACTTCTGTAGCGCTAAGTATAACCAAAATACTTAATCATGTAAATCTCTAAAAGCTATGTTGCAATCTCAATTGTTTTTATTGTTCATGTTATTCCACATTGCTAGAAAGACTTCTTTTACTTTTCCCATTATATAAAGATGCCCCAAATACTTCCCTTATTATCTGCTTAGTGGAACATTATGTCAGGATTATCTGTTGTTTGATGTTACTATTATAGGTTTTGATTGAAAAATGATTGTATTGATATACTTTTTTAATCTTTTACTAGATATGATTGATAATTTAGTTGTTGTCGGTAGGCTAATGGTTGAAAGTTTTTCCATTTTTGTTGTTAAGATATAGGTTTTTCACGATGCAGAGGACAATATGTTTGGATTGATTGATACTACTGTTAATTATACAAGTCTTAAATTGTGACCATTGTTGTACTATGTTCAATGTTTTTTGTTTTTTTGGAAACATATGTAAGTGAAGTTAATATCTAGGTACCTATCTTATTTTATTCGTTCATTTAGTTGTAGTTGAAACTTTAAGGTTGGCAGAGTTACCCGGTAACTATGTTGGTGGAAGGTAGCTTGTACCTGATGCAATAGTCGAGGTGTGCACAAGCTAGACCCGACAACATCATCATAAAAAAAAGAAAAAAAGGAAGAGAAAGAACAGAATAAATAAAGGAAATTCGGGCCATTCTTAATACGACCTGCCGGGGAGTGATTAGGGCGATCCTCCAGATGTTGTGCACTGATAGACATATGGAGATCTAAGTTACAATTTTCTGCCATCTTGATTGGTTATGGTTCCACAGAATGTTGCTGATTGATGGAACTTAATGTAGGATATGGTTCGCATATAGCATTTGGAGAGTTTGTCTGGAGCTAACAAATAAATCTAGCACAATGGTCTTAACAACATTTCAGAGAGGGGAATTCCATTCTTGAGGCGCTTGATGAAGAAATCATGGAAACAAGTAACTTGGAACAAATGGTAGATGTTTTTAAAGTAGGACTGATGTGTACTGGAGCATCACCATCTGGTAGGCCATCAATGAAGGAGGTCTTCAACATTCTTCGAAGCTACAACGAATCCCAATTATTGAGGGAGTGCAATGTTTAGTCGTAAGTCAGACATAGTTGTATTTGTAAATACAATAGAATGAGAAAGCCATGTTGGCGATGATGTCTTTCAGAGATTAATTAGTCCTATGCTTTTTCAGCATTCAACTTCCTTGATACTCACAGAATTGTTAATTGAACTGTCAAAACAGATCAATAATTCTTCATCTATTCCAATTTATGTAACACTTCAAAATGCAGTTAATTTAAATTAGACCTTATTATCTACATCGAATGAGTTTGTCTTATTATATACCTTTTGGATATACTCTTAATATTGATGCTTACTCAAAGAGGTAGGAAATGTGATATCATGCATGAATGTAGTTGGAGGAGTCTTCCTTTAGAAGATTTAAGCTTGACTAACTCGAGCTTAGTAGTTATTGGATGTAAGGTTCTATGTATAACTTACATTTTCATATTACAGGGGTGACTTTAATATATAATACATTCTACTTCTCATCTACAATATGATTTTAATAATTTATTTTTCTTTTCTGATTGTATGGTAAGAATAATATTGTCATACTAATATTCAAAAGTACCATCCGCGCATCGCGCAGGTTTTAATACTAGTGCCAAAAAAAGGAGAAAAAGATAAATGACAATCCTTGTCTATGAGATGTGCCAAGTGTCACGACCCAAAACCACCTCGGTCATGATGGCGCCTATCATGGAACTAGGTCATCCGACACATTTTCAAAACCAATCAATATTTTTCATTCTTAGGATAAAATCAAAGCTTTTTAACAATAAATATTTATAAAATGTTTAAAACAAAGCAACAGTGCGGAAAGAAAGTCCGACATCGGGGTGTCACTAGTAATGAGCATCTACTACAACTATCTGACAACATCAAGACCAATATGGTCGGGAACATCACAAAATACACTAAGGGAGAATAAGGAGGGAGAGAGACAGGGCTGCGATTGTCAGGCAACTACCTTGCTAACTCCGATGAACCTACCACCGAACTCAGTAATACCTGAATCTGCACACAAGGTGCAGGGAGTAATGTGAGTACACCAACTCAGTAAGTAATAAAAGTAAAAAAAAAATACTGAGCAGTAGGAAATGATAAATCCACATCATGATAAACTCAGTATGCACAACATGTTGTCAAATTGGAATGAGTCAAATCATCTACTTTAAAATCCAGTTTTTGGTAAAAATCATTTGAAGACGCTTTCCAACAGTTTCAATAGAGGTTCAATACAATTTATAGTAAAAGTGCTGAAAATCATAATCGGCCCATCGGGCAAAACATAGTTCTTATACAGCCCCTTGGGCAAAACATGAATTATAAACAGCCCCTCGGGAAAACCTCTCGGTCACTTCTATACATCTCATAACATAAAAAAATCTTAGTGGAAATAACAAAGCCAAATCAGTGATTAAATTTCGAACATCTCGTAAAAACTCCAGTTTCAATAAAAGTTGTTTGAAAACATTGTTCAATATTTTCAACAGAGGCTCAGTATAAAGAGGAGTGAAAACAGTAATTTCATAAAAACAAACCCCTTGGGCAAAACATCACTCATATATATAGCCCCTCGGGCAAGCCTCCCAGTCACTCGAGACTCAACTCTCATCAATCAGCGCTCACCCTCAGCACTCACGCTCAATAGGTACCTTATAAAAATTGATGCGGCGTGCAGCCCGATCCATAAATATATAGTCGACTGCGCTTACTGGGGGTGTGCAGACTCCGAAGGAGCTCCTATAGCCCAAGCGCTATATCGTTGCGGCGTGCAACCATATATATATATATATATACCCAATCCATAAATATATAATCCTTATAACTAGGCCCTTGGCCTCTCTCTGTCATCAACCTCACAATTCTCTCAGTCATCAACGTCACAATCAGACCCTCGGCCTCTCTCAGTCATCAACCTCACAAGCCACTCGAGCTATCAGTAAACAGGGTGCTCAACCCAAAATATTATTTTTTATGCATCAAAAGGATAATAAATACTGAGTTATGAAATCAATAAAAATATAACATGACTGAGTACAGATCTTAAGTCAAAACAGTGAGGAAATAATAAGGAAAAGCCCCTAAGGGTCCAAACAACTTGACATTCAGCCCAAAACATAATAATATTTTCCAAAACACAAGTGTATCAAATAGTTTTCAGTCAAATACGTAACTTAAGAGTCACAATCCCAACGAGTGATGTTGCCCGTGGGGGCAGACCAAGTCACAATCCCAACGATGAACGCCCCCACGCTCGTCATCTAGTGTGTGTGTCACCTCAATATAGTGAAACGAAGTGAAATACATGGTTTCATACCCTCAGGACAATATTTACAATCATTACTTACCTCAAACCGGACGAACATCTACACCGCGATGCCCTTTCCGCTTAACTCGGCCTCAAATCACCCCGAATCTATCCAAAATCAGAATCATATCATCAATACATGCCAAAGGGACAAAGCCTACACGAAAATTATCAAATTAAACTCAAAATCCCGAAATTGGCCAAACCGTACCCCGGGGTCGACGTCTCAAAATTCGATAAAAATCACAACACTAGAATCCTTATCCTTCCATGAGTCTATACATACCAAGATCATCAAAATCGGACCTCAAATGGCCCCTCAAATTCCCAATTTAACTCTCCAATTTCAAGCCATAATTTTCCAATTCCTTCTCTAATTTTTCCACTAATTTGATGATTAAACAACAGAATAATTATCATAAAACAAGATATAAAGCCCAAGTAGCTTACCCTCCATGAAAACACTTGATTCCCTCTTGAAATCACAGCTTGGAGCTCCAAAATCGACCAAAAATGGTGGAAGAATGACCAAAATTCGGGAAGGAGCCTTATATACTTTCTGCTCAGGCATCTCGCACCTGCAATCCATTTCTCCGCATCTGCGACTTCCACTTAATCCACCAGAACCGCACCTGCAGTCACCCTACCGCACCTGCGGTACTACGGTTCTTGCTCTTCTCAGCCTTGACTGCACCTGCGATCCTTCCTTTGCTTCTGCGGTCTCGCACCTGTGGTCCCCACTCTGCAGGTGCGGTTATGACAGAACCAGCAGCTTCAGCTGCATTCCCAAATTTTCAAACTCTCCGATAACCATCCGAAATCATCCTGAGGCCCCCGGGATCTCAACCAAAAATACGAACAAATCACATATCACCATTCAAACTTATTCCAACCTTTGGAACATTCAAAACAACATCAAACATCAAATCACCCTCGGATTCAAGCCTAAGGATTTCCAAACTTCTGAATTCCGCAACTGATCCAAAAACCCATCAAACCTCATCCGAATGACTTGAAATTTTGCAAACACATCACAAATGACACAACAGACCTACTCCAATTTCCGGAGTTCCATTCCGACCTCGATATCAAGATTTCCAC